TATATATATATATATATATTGGCAATCTCACTACTATTTAGAACAAACAAAGGCCATGAATCCATAAATAAGGCCCATACTAATAATTCCCCTTTGTAAGGCCTCGTCTGAGAAATAAATATTTTAGTTAAAAAATAATAAAATAAGAAGTTAAAAAATTTGACTCATTTATTAAAAAAGTTTAAAAAAAAAATTTTACACTTTTTTCCCGTAAAAACTAAAAAAATTATTTCCAAATATATTAATTCTTTGTTCATTTCAAATTTTAACTAAAAAATCACTAAAAAAAAAACCTTCCCAAACAGACCCTTAATATCTCCATGTACTTTACAATTTGAATTAATATGTTTTTTCCAATAAAAAAAAAATAGAGTGACTCTGCCCTAAAAATTTTTGGGTTTATGGACGGTGTGTTGGTGACTAACAACATGCATCCTATGTACAAATGATTAGTCTTAAACCAACCAATGTGATTTGGGATAAATTATGTAAATGGTTTATGTAATTTACACGATATGTTAATTTGGTCTCTGTTGTTTTAATTTATTCGATTTTATTCCTTAATTTAACGAATTGTATCATTTTTTTTATCAGCAAAGAGAAGGCTTTATTGATGAAAACACATACAAAGTAGGGGTGTTTGCGGATCGATTTTGTGCGGTTTGCGGTTCAGTTTTGACCCACCCGCATCTATGTGGTTTGGAAAAAAGTCAACCCGTAACCGCCCGCAGTGCGGTTTGCGGTTTGTGCGGATAGAGTTTGCAGATGTGCAGGCGGTTTGCGGTTTACACTTTTTTCTTTAAAAATTAATTTTTGAGTTTTTTTTCCCCATCGAATTTAGGCATCAGATTCATTTTATATATTTGTGATCATTTGACAACAATTTTCTGATGAGTTTACAAATAAAAATTAAATATCAATGCATCAAATGAAAGTACCCAAAACAAAGAGACCCTACACTAGCATTTTTGCCACGAAAAAAATGTATATCAATGCATTAAAGGTTGTACTCAATTAGAATTGCCAGTTCATAATCAATAATCAAACTAGAAGTTCCATCGACCACCAGAAGGAAAATTTTATTAGGAAAAAGCGGATGAGTCACCAATGAAAATCATATAAGAAACCAAGTTTAGGACTTGATAATTCCACGACATTAAGAAAATTGAGAAATACTTAAAATAAGGATCCTGGTGTCATAGAGAACATAATAGTGCTCCTGTTAAAGTTACAAAGTTGGTATACAAAAAAAAATAAAAAATAATAATAATAATAATAAAAGTGCGGGCGGTTTTGCGGGTTTAACTCGCGACCAGCCCGCAACCCGCAAATTTGTCATATTTCAAACTGCATCCACCCGCATTATGTGTTGCGAAACCGTCCATTTATATGCGGGTTGGGCCGGTTAAGCGGTTCGGATAAACCGCTGCCCACCCCTAATACAAAGTATAAGAAGATACATCAATAAAGAGGAGAGTGCAAAAAGCATCACAGTCATTTTAGTCCAATAATGTGTCGATTTTGCCCCTTAATTTAACAGTTGTTAATTTTGGTGAATAGAAAATCTACACAATATGTCAATTTAGTCTTTATTGTTTTAATTTGCTCGATTTTGATAAAGATCAAATTGACACATTCCATAAACTACATAGATCAAATTGACACATAGTTTGACTTTCCGTCTACAAAACTTAACAACCGTTATTTATTGGACTAAAATGACACCATCCGTAAAATTAAGAGGCAAAATCGAGCAAATTAAAACAATAAGGACCAAATTGACACATTGTATAAACTCTTTTTTTTTTATCAGCAAAATGAAATTTTATTGATGAAGAAAGTAATACAAGCAAAAAACTTACATCAACAAAGAAGGAAGCGTAGAGAGTATCAATGCTGGCCTTAACAATTCCAACTAAGTTGGCACCTCTAAGAAAGCACAATCATTTACAAGCACTTGACCCAAGATTGGTGAGAAACTAATCAAGAGAAACCAAAAAAAGAGAAAAAACAGAACAACAAAACCAGAAGCAACAGAGCAACAAACTAGTAGCATTAGCATTTGAACTCCCCTTATAGCAGCTACACATACCAGACCAGCAACAATACAGGCCAACCAACAGCAAACTTCAACCGGCCTCAGAACAGCAGCATACAACAGGCCAATCAGCATCATACAGCAACAACAAATAACGTCAGACCTGCTTCAATTTTGCCATAATATCATGCATTGAGTAATTCATCCCCTTAACATTTGACTTAACCCATAGAGCAATTTTAACTTTCAACAGCTTCACCATCTCTATTCACTAGCACCAAACCAATAGCAGCCCAACTGATATACCTATTCAACAGCACCAAACCACTTAGCTTTCAACAGCAGCAAAAGCAATTTTTCAGCAATGGCAGCCTCTGTCAACTAGCACCAGACAGCAGCATACATATTTGCTACCACATATCATCTTCATACTCCAACAGACCTCCTATACCAAACAACCTCGCACCTGCTTCAAGTTTGCCACAATATCATGCATTGAGTAATTTACTCCCTTCAAGTTTGACACATCGTATAAACTACAGGGACTATTTATGTAATTTACCCTATAATTTGTTAACAAAATTAAATTATTGAACATTGTGGTCAATTAATCATTACTCCCTTCAATTATTTATATAATTCCACCACCTGCTCTAATAAATTAAAGATTTAGAAATAAAAATTTAATGATAAAATTATTATTTTAAAAAAATTAGTTATCAGAAGTGTTATTATTATATTTTTAGTGGCTCAATTATATCTTTAGTGATAAATTACTATATTTTTTGGACCAAAATTTGTGTTTTAGGAGTAGTTTTTTTTATATCAAATTATTTTGTCTCTAAAGTTATATTCATTAGAGATATTTTTAAAATTAATTTTTTAACTTCTCGAGATGATTTTTTAGCAATAAACTTCGTTACGATAGGAATTGGTACCAAAAAAATTTTGTAACAAAATTTTTACTTTTAAGAATAAAAAAGTTTGGTCACTAAAGTCCGATAACTGCAGTATATTACTTGTTTATTTCACCCTTTTATATCACTGGCCCACATGGCATAATATCATTTGTTTGCATAAATTTCTTAATAATTATTTTCAAATAAAAGAATTAATCATAAGTATCCATATTCGAGGTAACACAAAATAATGATAAATAATGAGTAATATATAACATACCACTTAAAAATTTTATATATTGTAGTGATCGTTGCTACTACTCTACACTACTACAAAAATAGTTAAATATCACACTTTGACAAAAAAAATAATCTCACTTTTATTAAAAGTGTGATAAAAAAATTAGATTGATATTTTAATCACACTTAATTTGATTGAGTGTGATTATATTTATTTTTTATGTCACTTTTCAATTAAGTGTGATTATATATATATTTTTTAATCACACCTTCTAATTAAAAGTGTGATTATATATACATTACTACTTTTTAATCACACTTTTGAACAAATGTGATTATATATATATATTTTAATCACACATTCTAATTAAAAGTGTGATTATTTATATATTTTTTAATCGCACATTCTAATTAAAATGTGATTATATATATACTACTTTTTAATCACACTTTTTAAACAAGTGTGATTATATATATATTTTTTAATCACACATTCCAATTAAAAGTGTGATTATTTATATATTTTTTAATCGCACATTCTAATTAAAATGTGATTATATATATACTACTTTTTAATCACACTTTTTAAACAAGTGTGATTATATATATATTTTTTAATCACACATTCTAATTAAAGTGTGATTGTTTATATATTTTTTAATCACACATTTTAATTACAGTGTGATTATATATACATTATTACTTTTTAATCACACTCCCTAAATAGGTGTGATTGTATAAAATATTTCAATTTGATTTTTATATAAAATATACAATTCCCAATTTTTTTTTAAAAAAAATCCCCAACACCAAAACATAAATTATAAATAAAAAAAAATTCAAAATACATTTAACTCTTTGGCTGCTTCTAATAAAAAAGAAAGTAGAAGGCTAGGGTTCATTAAAAGGCACAAAGAGAGAGAGAGAGAGAGGGAGAAGGAGATGTAGTGCGTTCAATACTGTTGGGGGCAGAGTGTTTCTTACGGTCGCCGTCTTCAGAGGCCTCTCTCTCATCACCCCAAACCAACAAAGCCTCGAAAAGCCCTCCACCTGCGACGCCGGCATCGTCGCCAGCAAGAAGCTTCTAGTCTTCGAAGTTGTCTCCTTCAGCTTCTTCCTTTTCTCCTCCTTAGTCACTGAGGGCCTCAAGCTCGCCATCAATCTCTTGAACAGCAAGGATGTCGATGAGGCATTTCGGGTCAATCAGTGGTCTTATACTGTTTTCTGGAAGATCAGTTGCCAAAACCATATGTATGTTTTCGCTCAATATTTTTGTTTCCTCATCTACTATGTGAATATGAATCACTACAACAAAACTGGGTTTTTACGGCTTCACATCAACGACATATAGTAAATACAAGCCTTGGTTTCTCACTTTTACAATTTTTTTTTTTTTTGCATGTCGTAAATAATTTTCCAACCACGATGTGTCTATTGCGTAGGTCATGAATGCTAATAATGATAATTTTTTTTTTACAGCTTGCAATGTTAGCTGTAAATAATAAAACTTTCTATAACATGTATATTGTATGCCGTCAATACATCAACTATACACGACAGGCGTACACTAACTGTTAAAAATGTTAAATATTTCACGGCGCACAAAAAGCCAGTTGTTAAAAATTTCACTTTCCACGACACATAAAAAGCCAACTATTTAAAATATTACACTTTTCACGATATGCAATTGTTGCTATGAAAAGTAGGACCAGGAAAAAAAAATTGTCAAAATAAAAATTTCGAACGCCAAACACTGAAAAAAAAAACATATTAAAAAATAAATATATATATATATATATATCAAAAACACCACCACCAAAAAAAAAAAAAAGTATTAAAAAAAAACAAGTATCTCTCTCTTTTCTCTCTCTCTCTGGCTCTCCATATGCTTCTCTTTCTCTCTAACATTCACACAAGCACAAACCCTACGCCACCATCCAAAACCACATAGTCTTCAACTACTCCGAATGCGAAACCCAAAACCTCAAAAACGATCTCCAAACCCTAAAGCAAATGCGCTCTGATCTCGAATGCCCCAATGCAGATTCCCTGTCTTCCCGCTGCGACCTTTTGCAAAACTACTTCAAAGCTCTCTGTACCGTCGAATCTCGATTCCCGCCGTGAATTTCACCTGGTACGACGCTTTCAAGACCAAATTGAAGGCTTCGTAGCAGAACATCTACCTCGAGAAGGCCTCTGTGTTGTTCAATTGGGGGGCTGTGCATAACCAGATTGGATTGTCGTTCGATTGGTCTTCGATTGAAGGAAGGAGATAAGGTTCGCATGCTTTTATTGTTATGGCTGGGGCGTTTACATTTTTGAGACATAATGAGTCCATGAAGGCATCGATTGGTTGGTTCGGCGACTGTGGATAGTGTGCCGAGATGTTGAGGAGGCTTACGCTAGCTCAAGCTCAGGAATGTGTTTTTGAGAACTCTATTGCTAATGGGAGTACTCCTGGGGTTTGTGCTAAAATCTCTAGACAAGTTAGTGTTTGTTTAGCTTTTCTGAATTGCTGCTATTTGAGTTTTAAGTATTGTAATTGTGATTATGTTTCAGTTTAGTGAAATGGTTTAGATTTAGTGGAAATGTAACCAATATTTCATGGGTTTAATAGCAAATGTGAAGGAATTTACTTGGAATTGTAGAAAGTATGCTATGGTTTCAGAATACAGAATATAACTAGACTGTTTACACACCTGATAAGTGATCTATGAAAATCAACTAATTGAATGGGAAAAAAGGGGGAAATTAAAAAATTAAAAAATTAAAAAAAAAAAAAAAACACCTGAAAAGTTATTACAATTTGAAATTCAAAATCAACATATGAGTCAGTTATTGTTGTTACTAAGTTTTGGCCTTAGTAGGCCTCATACATATTGGGATGTTGTAGAAATCAGTTGAAATGCAATCTATTTTATGATCCATACTGTTCAAATTACTGTATCCAACAATCTCTGTGGCAATTATAAATTGCTTTTAGTATGTTACGAGTGTTACGTAGGAAATTGTATCTATGAGCATGTACACATGCATATTTTTCTTGTTGGGCAGTTAATTACACTTTTACTATAATTCTTTGAAATGCACATGATTATAGGTTGGGATCTACTATGAGGAAGCTTTAGTAGCACTAAATGTTTCACCTCTCAAAGAGTATTTTGACAAGAATTGGTCATCTCAGTGAGTGGCTACATTAGGTCATAATCCTAGTTTATGAACCAAGAAGTGTAGCCTTTAGGACAGTAAGCCCCCGAAATAGGAGAATAGGGGATTATTTCCTTTAAGTTATGGTATTGGATGAATTTTAGATTTTTTGTTAGCGATTCCTACTTTTGTTGCAATTTGGGTTTTTTCCCCTACCAAATTATTCATTGGACCATTCAAGGTAATGGATTTTTATGGTCACCTTTCTCTGTAGCACATCAAAATGCATCATTCTTTCTCCGTTTTATTTTTATTTGTTTTATATTTACATTAGTTTATTGACTCGATATGTTTGTTAGTGTGAATAAACCATAAGCAAAGCACAACTTTGAACTTTTCCAACTATAGAAGAAAAACTTGCACTGCTCTAGGAATTCAACTTAATCCTAATTTAAAATTTTCTATTAAGAGCATTTAATGTCTTTGACATTGAGCCGTCTTTCTACATTTTAAATAATATTTCAAATGTTAGAACTGTACCACCTTACCCTGTGTGAAATTCAGGAATGAGTATCTGTTTAAAGAGGCAAAGCCATATTTTGCAGAGTTAATTGAGTTGGTAAAGGTCAGAGTTGCTATGTGGGCAAAATCAAATTTGAAAGACTTGAAATGCTCAGTTCATGGTTTAGTCTCTAATCTGGAGCATGTATGCTACAGTGTGTAGCAGTGTGCTAACCTCGTTGCTACTGCAGAAATGGAGTGAATCTAGTTGCTGCTGCTGCTGCTAGTAGTTGTTGTTCTATTTTATTTTCCCTTGGTAGTGCTCAATTAATTCTACTTGTTGTTGCTGCTGCTAGTTGCTGCTAATTGTTGTTATTGCTGTTTAATTCTACTGCTGTTGTTTAATTCAGCGATGGGGAATAGAAGTATGAACTGGCAGGAGCTTGAAAATGCATGGAATGGTGGATCTGGTGCTGAGCTACTTGTATTTCTGGTAGTTTGTTGTTTGGCTGTTTGTATTGTTTTTTGGCTGCTTGTATTTCTCTATGTCTTGTTCCTCTTTTGGTTGGTTTCTCACCAGCTTAGTGTTGTGCTAGCAAATGATTGCGGTGTGCAAATTGGTGCTAACCTAGTTGGGTTAACTCTTTGTGCACTCACCTCTCTTTCTTGATGTTTTGGTTGAACTTTTTCATTGTTCGAATCTTCTCATCAATAAAGTTTTGTTTTGCTGATCAAAAAATATATATATATAAAGTGATGAATGCTAGTTAAAGTTTGATATACATTCTATGTATTATGTATGTCTCATATATCCCAACTCCTAAAAACTGCACATGTATTATACTTATTTTCCAGGTGGAGCTTCAAGAGGGTTCTTTGGATCAGTTCACACATGAGATGGAACCCTTCCTATACAAGCAAGGGATGCCTGTTAGGTTGAACAAAGGTTTGTGACTGATTTTGGTTGAAAATTTAGACTGTTTTTGAGATGTGAATAACCATTATGCAGTTCTTATATAATGAATTTTTCTGTAATTGTTTTTTATATATGTCATTTGGTCTCAATAAGAGTATGAGCTGCTCTTTTTTTTTATCAGCAAAGAAAAATTTCATTTAACAGCATGAAATTAAAAGTACAGGAAGATGACATGCATCGAGAGAGATTCGGAAGTATAAAAATACCCCTACTACTGCTACTCGCACTCATACAACCAACCCCTAAGCCTCTCGATTTTTTTTTTTAAAAAAAAAAAAAAAAAGTTAAGAAGAACTTAACTAAAGAAATTAAAATACATGAATCTCCACATAATCAACCCACCAAAACACCAAAACCAAACTAGAAATAACTAAACTAACTCCCAAAGCAGCTCAAACTAAGAACCCATCTAATCAACATCCACGCCTCTGCCAAGGCCCACCTGCTATTTTGAAAACTAGATCATTACACCTATGTTGCTAACAACTCCCAACGCCACCCTTCTTCACACCCGACGCCTGACAGCACGCTCCGCTGCTCCACGCCTGCTGCATGCTGGCCGGAAAACTCCATAGCGACCCGCTCGAAAGCTGAAAAAACTCCCTTGCACAACACAGATCCACACCCGCAATCACACCCAACAGATCCACACCTGCACAAAACTCCCCTGCACAAAACTCCCCTGCACAAAACTCCATATCCACAAACCCACTCTACAGCCCACTCGAGCACTCTACCAACTCCCCTGCAGCCCACTCCACACACCCACCGAACACCGACCACCCGCTGGGACACAGGCCTTCACCCCTCAAACTCTCATATGAGGAAGGGCGCTTGAGTGCAAACCGGAAAGAACTGAAACGCCTACGAACCAGAGTGCACCCCTCAAGCTCCTACTCGCCAAAAGTGCTCGAATGAAATTCCTGGACTCCCCTGATGAATCAGCTATAACGGCAAGATTGAAACACAAGAAGACATCCGATGACGACCTGGACAGCCCCTGAATGAAACTCCCGCAGCAACAAAAAACACACCAAGGTGAGGAAGATGGAAGACTCAAGTTTATTGAAGGAGAAAACTAACAAGACAGCCGCCGAAACGAGCTAGGCCAGCTGACCGCCATAGCCAAAGGCGACGGCCGGCCGACCCAAAAAGAGGCCGGGGAAGGAGGTTTTTAGAGAGAGAAGAGGGAGAGAGGTTTTTAGAATTTTCAAATAATAGGCTAACACAGGCCTGAGTATGAGCTGCTCTTGCTTGCCATTGTTCTAACAGACTAACTGAAATCCGAATTAGATGTAACAAGAAAAGTAGTACAATTGTTATGCTTGTCCCTTACATTTCAATAAAGTATTGTCCTATCGTATTGTCTCTTAAGTATATTTTTCATTTAACTGTTTTTTTTTTTTTTTGAAAATGTAGTAATTTCATTAAACATTTAGCAAAAATTAAGAAAATTGCTTAAGAAAACTGTCTGTGTTGTTGGCTACATGTTGCATGTGCTTTTTGTGCTGTCTGCACCTGTTTATGCTGTGCTGTCTCTGTTGCTGGTTCTGGTTTGCTGTTTATGCTATTAGTTTTTATGCTTGTTCTATTAATTTATGTATCTTGTTAATTTATGCTTTGAGAGTGGGATTCCTATGCTCAAGAATAGGCTTCAAGAGCTCCCCGATTCAGACAATGTAAGATTTCTTCTTATCACGGAAACCATTAGATAAGCTATCATTTGTTTGGAATTAATATTTTTGAAAATGAAGTGTCTGTAATTAGTTTTTACTTCTACAAACCGATGTTACCATGAAGTGCACCCTGGCAAGACATGCTAAAGACTAAGGGTCGTTTGTTCAGTTTCCTTTTTCTGTTTACAAAAAACAAAAAAACAAGTTTTTTTTATATTTATTATAAATATATATATATATATATATATATATTTATAATGAAATTGAAAAAAGAAAACAGGAAAAGGAAGTGTTAACAAACAACCCCAAGTGTTAAAATGAACCCACACATATAGGCAAAATATCAAATTTCCACCTATTTGCTTTAATTGCTTAATTGCTTTATAGGATCTTTCAAATCTCTAACAGAGTTCCTGATTTCATTCTCTCTAGATATCGATTGATTTTCCAGATGATGGTGCATGGAAACTGTTTCATAAGCAGTTGCAGCATTTCCCAATGGTATTGTTCCTAATCATAATAGGGATGTTCTAGATCCTCTATCAACTTATTGAATACACATCAAATCAATCAAAACATCTCTAGGAATTAATTCCATTTTCAGTTTAATTTTGCTTGCATTTTTTTTTATTACATTGTTACATATTGCGTTGCTACATTGTTAAATTTATCAGACCCTAGAGGGCGTCATGTTGTGATAGTTGATAGACTAGATCCACGGGAACTAAAGACTTGAGGTGATCTTTGTAATTCTATACTATTACAAGTCTGCTAATATAATTGTTTGTTACTTTTATTTTCATGTCAGTTGGAAAGCCAAGTCTATGTTTGACCTTGCGGCATTGGTTTCTGTTAATTGCATGCTACTGTAATGGCACAAAACCAAAACATCAGGTTAGATAGGGTTAGTCATAATTGTAAATTGTAGATATGTATTTTCTTGACTTATCATTTTTCACCTTTTTAACCACTGCTCAATCTAATATATTAGAGTCCCAAACTAGAATTTAATAAAACATAATCAGAAGGAATCATCAATTAATGACAATGTGAAAATGTCAGAATAGATCATCAAACTTTTCCTGGTGCTATCTAAAGTCTAAACATGTTGTTGCAACCCCCTACATACCATGGGAATAAATTATTACTTGGTGTACATCTTAAAATTCCATAAATGAAGGAAGGTTTGATACTCAACTTGGTTTTATTTTCAATTTTCATAATCTGAAAATAGAAAGTTTATTTTGAATGTTTAGTCTCTTCTAGGTCTTTTCATATATTGATTCTTTGAGAAATAAGAGCAAAGGAAATCAATTTGTCTTGAAAGTTGGAACCATTTTAGCTCTAGCAAATGGGGCTTTTTATTTTATCTTAATAATGTTAGTTGCTGAGTTGTTATAATTTTTTATCAATCCTCATGGTGATTCTTTATTGACATGTGATTGGTTTCCTAATTGCCTAAGCCAAACTTAGATTTCTATGATCCTTGAAAATATTTTGTTTGATTTTTATTTTATTTTTTATTTTTTTATATAATTCATTGATTTATGTGACCAAAAAGTAGTCAACATGACTTTTATATGTTAGCTTTGTCAAGGTCTTCATTATTTTAAAATGTGTTGGTCTCTTGTATATCCACCTTGCATTAGATGAATATGAACTATTTTATGTTTTGTTAAGACCTTAGATTAGAGTGACCCAAATTAATAATAAACCTGCAAAATAAACAGGAGCATTTAGGTTTGATTTCCTATGATATTTCAATGTTCAGACATCAACTGGTAGAATTTGTTGGCAAATTGTTAGTTCAAAAACTATGTAATGTAATTCTATTAGTTTTATTTTATTTTTACATAAAACTACATCACAACATATAATGTTCCAATATTTCAAGTGCCGACATCATGTGCTCGGAATTTTTTGTTTGCTACCATGGATGTGGGTATCATGAAGCACAATTGTTTACAATATGTTATTGACCAATTTGTAATATTTTTTTTGCTTGTCCTTCCTAGTCCAAAGTATTTGTGTTAAAATGAGGCCTAGTTTGTATGGTTGATTTGTAAATTTTGTGCAAGTTGAATGTTGATGTCAGAATGAGCAGGGTATTACATTGTTTATTTGTGGAATATTTGTGTTGATTCGGTTGGTAACAACAATATAGGAGTATGAGGAGATAAGTGAAGAACCTGAGCAAGCCGCCTTGAAGAAAGTGAACAGCAAGAAGTTGAAGAAGCTGAAGATAAAGAAACACTGGTTGATACACAACAGGAGACTGAGCCTAAGGAGGAGGAAGTTCCACTGTTGATATCAACTGACCAAACTGAGGATCTGATGGTAAGTAACTTTAAAATTAATTATTGTGTAATCTCCTTAAAACTAGGAACTGTTGTATTTGGGTTGAATTGGATTTTCTAATTGGATCAAATTTGGATTCACAGCAATGGGAGCTTCCTTTTGCTCTAATTGCAATTGTGTTTGTTGTTCTGATTAGTATATTCATGATTCTTGCACATTTTGAGTGCAGGGTTTAAATGAAATAAATCCTAAAGCTGTCGAAGTAAAAGAAAGTAATGCATTAGCGCTTGCTATAGTTCCACCTGGTAAGTTGCATACTAGTTTTTTTTTTCCCTCCCTTTTCATTTTGGTATATTTATTGGATTTGCTTGTCTGTCCCTTTTCCTGGTCTGTGTGCATTCTTTTCTTTTGGGTATATACCCCATCCTATGAGGCAACCACTACAACAAAAAAGGCCTTTGGTGACAGACTGATTTTGTCTCCAAACATCAAAATTTCGTCACCAAAGTGATCTGTGACTAAAAAATTTTGTCACCACGTTCGTGGCCTATACGTCGTCACAAAAAGTACCTGGTGACGAAAAACAGTTTCGTCGCCTATTTTTCATTTTTGGTGACGAAATGCTTCGTCTCCAAATGTTGAATTTTTTGTCCTCTAAAACACCAATTTCGTCACCAAAACTAAATAATATTTTATTTTAATTATTTTTTGCGACGAAATATTTCGTCACCAAATATATTTTAGTGACGAAAGTTTTCCTCACCAGCGATATGGATTAAGGTGACAAAAAAATTCGTCACTAAAATGAGCAAAAAAGAAAATTATTCAATGACAAAAAACATTTTGTCACCAAATAATTCAATTTAACGACGAAATATTCAGCAAATGTGACGAAATTGTTTGTTTCGTACTATATCATTAGTGACAAAATTATTCGTCATGTTTTTTGAAAACTAATAGCGACATTTTTTATTTTGTCAATAATAAAAATTAAAAATTTTGAAAATGGAGATACTATTTTCTTCTGAAATTTTTTCTTTTCAGGAACAATTCCCTGCGCATTTCAATAACCTGTTCAATAAAATATCTATTACAAATCAATACAAAAAACTGTTCATTTTCATAAACATCACAATCGAATTTTAGCACTATCCACAAAAATACAATATGAACTGCATGCGGATTATAAACATGTCTCTTAATATCCACAAAAAACGTCTACTAATATCCACAAAAAAATAATATCAACCGTATGCAAATTACCAAACACATCTCCTAATATCAAAAAAAAAAAGGAGTCCCGTGCTAGTTCTGTAAGTTTTCACAACTCACATTGGTCCATCCCGAGGTGTTTGAGGTGTTTCCCGGGCTGTCTCGTGGCTGTTGAGCGATTTTGGCCCCCAAAGGCCTATTTTCAAGCTTAAGTCTGAAAAAGTGTATTTTTGGACTTAGTTTTCAAACCGGGAGTCGCGTGCTAGTTGCGTAAGTTTTCACAACTCACATTGGTCCATCCCGAGGTGTTTGAGGTGTTTCCCGGGCTGTCTCGTGGCTGTTGAGCGATTTTGGCCCCCAAAGGCCTATTTTCAAGCTTAAGTCTGAAAAAGTGTATTTTTGGACTTAGTTTTCAAACCGGGAGTCCCGTACTAGTTCTGTAAGTTTCCACAACTCACATTTGTCCATCTCGAGGTGTTTGAGGTGTTTCCCGGGCTGTCTCGTGGCTGTTGAGCGATTTTGGCCCCCAAAGGCCTATTTTCAAGCTTAAGTCTGAAAAAGTGTAATTTTGGACTTAGTTTTCAAACCGGGAGTCCCGTACTAGTTCTGTAAGTTTCCACAACTCACATTTGTCCATCTCGAGGTGTTTGAGGTGTTTCCCGGGCCGTCTCGTGGCTGTTGCACGATTTTGGCCCCCGAAGGCTTATTTTTGAAGCTTAAGTGTGGAAAAGTGCATTTTTTGACCTAGTTTTCAAACCGGGAGTCACGTGCTACTTCCGTAAGTTTCCAAAACTCACATTAGTCCATCCCAAGGTGTTTGAGGTGTTTCCCGGGCCGTCACGTGGCTGTTGCAGGATTTTGGCCCTCGAATGCCTATTTTCAAGCTTAAGTGTAAAAAAATACATTTTTGGACTTAGTTTTCAAACCGGGAGTCTCGTGCTAGTTCCGTTAGTTTTCACAACTCACATTGGCCCCTCCTGAACTGTTTGAGGTGTTCTCCGGGCCGTCTCGTGACTGTTGCACGATTTTGGCACCCGAAGGCCTATTTTCAAGCTTAAGTGTGGAAAAGTGCATTTTTGGACTTAGTTTTCAAACCGGGAGTCCCGTGCTAGTTCCGTTAGTTTTCACAACTCACATTGGCCCCTCCTGAACTGTTTGAGGTGAGGTGTTTGAGGTGTTCCCCAAGCCGTCTGATGGCTGTTGCACGATTTTGGCCTCCGATGGCCTATTTTTGAACTTTAAGTGTGAAAAAGTGTATTTTTAGACTTAGTTTTCAAATCGGGAATCCCGTGCTAGTTCTGTAAGTTTACACAACTCACATTTATTCATCCCGAGATGTTTGAGGTGTTTCTCGAACTATCTCGTGGCTGTTGAGCGATTTTCGCCCCCGAAGGCCTATTTTTGAAGCTTAAGTGGGAAAAAGTGCATTTTTGAACTTTGTTTTCAAACCGGGAGTCTCGTGCTAGTTCCGTAAGTTTCCACAACTCACATTGGTCCATCCTGAGGTGTTTGAAGTGTTTCCCGGGCCGTCTCGCGGCTGTTGCACGATTTTGGCCTCCGAAGGGCTATTTTTGAAGCTTAAGTGTGAAAAAGTGCATTTTTGAACTTTGTTTTCAAACCGGGAGTCCCGTGCTAGTTCCGTAAGTTTCCACAACTCACATTGGTCTATCCTGTGGTGTTTGAGGTGTTTCCCGGGCTGTCTCGTGGCTGTTGCACGATTTTGGCCCCTGATGGCCTATTTTCAAGCTTAAGTGTGAAAAAATGCATTTTTGGACTTAGTTTTCAAATCGGGAGTCACGTGTTAGTTCCATAAGTTTCCACAACTCACATTGGTCCATCCCGAGGTGTTTGAGGTGTTTCCCGGGCTGTTTTCTGGCTGTTGCACGATTTTGGCCCCCGAATGCCTATTTTTGAAGCTTAAGTGTGAAAAAGTGCATTTTGGACTTAGTTTTCAAACCGGGAGTCGCGTGCTAGTTGCGTAAGTTTTCACAACTCACATTGGTCCATCCCGAGGTGTTTAAAGTGTTTCCCGGGCTGTCTCCTAGCTGTTGGATGATTTTGGCTCCCGAAGGCCTATTTTCAAACTTAAGTGTGAAAAGTGCATTTTTGGACGTAGGGTTGGTTTGGGATATTCTAAAAAAGTGCACTTTTTGACTTATTGGCTTATATGGGATGGGTTGGGTTTGGATTGGATTTGATGTGATGTGTTAGAGAGGTGATGTGATTTAAATAAGATGATGTGACTTAAATAGGATAGTGACTTTTTGACTTTTTGTATTATTTAGTGTACCCCAAACCAAACCTTAGTTTTCAAACCGGGAGTCCCGTGCTAGTTCCGTAAGTTTCCACAACTCACATTTGTCCATCCCGAGGTGTTTGAGGTGTTTCCCGGGCCGTCTCGTGGCTGTTGCACGATTTTGGCTCCCGAAGGCCTATTTTTGAAGCTTGAGTGTGGAAAAGTACATTTTTGGACTTAGTTTTCAAACCGGGAGTCGTGTGCTAGTTCCGTAAGTTTCCACAACTCACATTGGTCTATCCCGAGGTGTTTGAGGTGTTTCCCAGGCCGTCTTGTGGCTGTTGCATGATTTTGGCCCCCGAGGCCTATTTTCAAGCTTAAGTGTGAAAAAATGCTTTTTTGGACTTAGTTTTCAAACCGAGAGTCTCGTGCTAGTTCCGTAAGTTTTCACGACTCACATTGGTCTGTCCTGAGGTGTTTGAGGTGTTTTTCGGGCCGTCTCGTGGCTGTTGCACGATTTTGGCCCCCGAAAGCCTATTTTCAAGCTTAAGTGTGGAAAAGTGCATTTTTAGACTTAGTTTTCAAACCGGGAGTCCCGTGCTAGTTCCGTAAGTTTCTACAACTCACATTGATTAGTCTCGAGGTGTTTTAGGTGTTCCCCGGGCCATCTCGTGGCTGTTGCACATTTTTTCGACTAGTTCCATGCCTACATGTTGGAATAGTTTTCGACTTAGTTTCATGCCTACATGTTGGCATAGTGCAAATGTCAAAGTAGTTTCCTAATTGGGAGCCACATGCATATTTCAGTGTTTGTGATGTTTCTCGGGCTTTTACGTGCATAGTTCACTATCTTAGTTGAAGAAGAAATTTCTACTAAATTAGCATAGAAACATAATATATTGAGTTAAGTTACGATCCTTATTGTATTGAGTTATGTTATTTCTTATAATCAAATTTTACAAATGACCTAATTTCCATATGATATATATCCTCCTTTTATAAGTAATGATTAAGAGTATATAGATCATATGGAAATTATGTCATGAACCCAGATTCAAATCTATGTTAAGTTTCTAATAAACCCAGATTCAAATGTGTTGTTAAATTAAGAACAATCAATCTCAATCTCTATATTTGAGTGCTCTATCATCTCTCTATTTCAGATATTGGTTAAATGACATGTTGGGTATGGGCAACTAACCTTAACTTCAGATTTCTTCACAGTTTTGATCATAAATCAATCATCTTGTGTTAGGTAGAACAAACATCCACTCTTGCCAGGGGAGGACAGTTCCCCAAGGGCATCGCTTCCGCAAATAGCCAGCATGTAATCCGCAGGATCTATTGCAAACATTTCCCTAAGATGTCTAAATATCCAACAATGCAATTATCACAATGATGTTGATGAAATAATGAGAGTTTAATCTTCCAAAATTTGGCGATCCAAAAAATAACTAAACCAAATCAATTTCAAATCAAAATCCGGGAAAAAAAACCTACAGCTTGCTCAGTTGAATTTCTTATAGAGTATATACCTAAACACCATGGGACAGTAGTCCTTCCATCTGAAGTCCACTGACTGGTGTGGCGGCGTGCATTTCGATCCTTCAGTTGGAAACCTAGTCCAGAACTTCTCCTTGGGATCAAAATCCGCTAGCTTAAGCGCCCGTGTAATGGCCGCATGCTTCCCAACAAAGTATCTACAAATCAATAAGAATTTCACAAAACACAAAACCAACCAACAAAAACCCAATATCCAAATAACATCAACAGATGCAACAGATGTAAAAGCAAAAGCAAAAGAATCCAATCCAATAATCAACCTGATACCCAGTTGGAGATTAAGCATCAATTCATAATTCTTATGTCCCTCAGATATCATCTGCCCTTGTTTCTTGACATCAAAGCCTTCATACCAACAAGGACTCTTCCTCAACTGCCCAGCAGGAGCTCCTCCACAAGGAGATTCACTCCCAACCCCAACCCCAATCCCATCTCTATAAAACATTGAAGCCTCCACATTGTCTACAATATCACAAGTAATATCCCCAGCTTCACCATCAGATTCCCAGATACAAATTCGGGAAAAATTGGCATTCCTCTCAGCCAAACTACCTCTCCCACCATCCACCGACGATCTCTTCCTGGACGGCAGCAACACGAAACACGGCTGCTCAGGCTGCCGATTATGCAAATTATCACTCCAAATCCCAGTATAAGAACTCCCATCAGGCCAAGCAAAAACCCCATTTCCTTTAGGAACACCATCTTCCCAATTCCCTTCATATCGATTCCCATTAGCCCAAATCAAAACCCCCTTACCCAGATTCAAACTTATAGTATTGAGTATATATAAACTTAATATGATAATCTGCTCCTTTTAAATAGATTTCTAATTACTCTTCTATATTGATAATCTACTCCTAATAGATTTCTAATTTCTTTAAAAACTATATTAAACTTAATATATAAAAAATTAAAGCATCAATTGCCTATCTATTGATAATCCAGCAGGCACATCATTGTTTGTACCTAGGAGAAATCCAATTCAAAACAGGTTTCCATTAGGTTTTTTTTTTTTTTTTGGGTTTCCAATTGGAACATCAAATTTGTATACAGAGCATTATATGTATACAGAGCATTATACAGAGCATATTTTATATGTATATAGAGCATATTTCATATGTATACAGAGCATATACATCAGAAAAATACATCAGAGGGAGCATCGAGAGAGAGAGAGAGAGAGAGAGAGAGACTAAATATTTAGTAACTAAATTATTTATTAGTGACAAAATTATTTCTTCACCAAAGATAGAAATATTGGCCACAAAAATCGTTTTGTCACTAAATAATATTAAAATATTAAAAATTATTGGTGACAAAAATATATTCGTCATTAATAATTTTATAATTAGTGACTAATTTTTTCGTCACTAAAAGTCTCAAAAGTTTGGCACCCTCCGAAAATATTAGCGGGAAAATATTTGGTGACAAAAAAAATTATAAATAATGACGAAAAATAATTTCGTCACCTAATTTTTTTATTATGATTTAGATTGGTGACGAAATTTTATTTTTGTCTCCAAAAATGGTACATTTGGAGACGAAATATGATTTTCGTCATTAAAAGATACGTATTTCGTGACAAAAAAAAATTTCATCATTAGTTTTCGTCTCTAAAGACTATTTTTGTTGTAGTGAACCATTTATAGGTGTCAATATTGTGCTGAACTCACCCCATCATCAGTTAGATGAAAATACCTAACCATACATATGAACATGTAGATTTGGTTTATATTTGAGTATAAGGTTTTATTAATAGCTTAATACTTTTATTTCCTTAGCTGTATAAGGTTTTATTAACCATACAACTCTCTTCTGGCTATTAATTTGCCTGCATGTTCATGTCTGATGATGAGTTAACTGCTGAAATCTTTTAACACATGAGTTTTCCTATAGAAAAATGTTTGGGGGCCCTAATTCTGTGGCTCAAATGGCCAAAACGACGTCGTTTTGGCCATTTTGATGTTGTTTTGTACTCAAAACGACGTCGTTTTGGTCATTTGAGCCACATTTGAGCCACAGAATTTGGGCCCTCTACCATTGCTCTTTCCTATATTCAAGGGCACAGATAAAATGTTTGCATAACCCTGTTCCTTTTCCTGAGCATTGTTGCCTCATAGTTCATACTCAGCTATCGTAAGATATTTGGTCTATTTTTTCCATGAGAATTGATTATTCAATCAAAGTGGTTATTCTTTTTCTATTGAAGCAGGAGATGAAGAGTCAGTGTGATGAGAAAAAGACAGGCTGTATCTTTTGTAAGACTAGAATAGTCTCTATAAATAATTAGTTTCTTCATATGCTTCTGCGGTTTCGAAATTAATTTGTGTTTTCATTTTTCAGGTTAGAAATTTCTTGGAGAGATGCAAAATATGTGTCAAAGAATTGAAGAACTTAATTTTTTAAGTTTTTTCATTTTTTAATGTGTAAGCACTATTAATTTTTTTTTATTTAATTCCTTTGTATATACTTTTGAATATTTAATTTCATTTATGAAATATATGACGTTATTCCACTCAATATGTGGTTATGATTCAAAGTATAGCATATAGTGTGTATTACATTAATCAAATGTGCATACAAAAATAATATTGATTATTTTTCAAATATATCAAACCCTTTTTTTATCACAGATTTTATTAGTTATTAATCACATTTAAAAGATGTGATCTAAATATTTTTAATCACACTTAAAATGTGTGATCTAAATTTTATTAATTGCACCTAAAATGTGTGATCTAAATGTTATTAATCACACTTAAAGGATGTGATCTAAATATTTTTAATCACACTTAAATGGTGTGATCTAAATATTTTTAATCACATTTAAAAGGTGTGATCTAAATCTTATTAAGCACACTTAAAAAGTGTGACTAAAATTGATCATTTTTAATCACACTCCCAAAGATCACACTTTAATAAAATTTAAAAGGTGTGATTAAATAACATACATCACACAAAAAAAAATGTGATCTTTATGTGTTTTTGTAGTAGTGCTACCACCTTTACCCTATCACTACCATCTCTTTGGGGGAAAATTCAATAAATTAAATGGATGGATTGAATTCATTTGTCAACCTATATCAAATTCAATCCAAATTGTTTAACCACGTTTATTAAATAGACATTAAATTAGATAGTTTTAAATACACGACACATTTTAATCTGTCACAGCTCACCTATTTTGCCAATTATACATTCGGTTCGTACCCAAACTAGAAAGAAACCATTGGAGCAAGGAAGAAATGGTGGTTGGATCCCGGTGGTGAATCAAAGGCAAGGAGTTGGATCTCGGGGCTATGAAGAAAGGAGTGGTCTGTTTACTGTGTTCGTGGACAACATCCCAAGTTCTTTGGATGCAAAGTCACTGTTTGAACTCTTCAAAAAGTTTGGTGTAGTCAAAGATGTATTCATCCCCTTCAAAAGAAGAAAAGCGACGAATTCAAGATTCGGATTTGTGCGATTCGACTATCATGTTGCATCAGGCATGGCAATCTAGAAAGCTAATGGACTTTTGGTGGATGATAAGGTACTTGCAGTCGAGTATGCAACTCATGACAGGAGCATGCTCAACATGAGAAGGCCCCAGGTCAACAAAGAAGCCTTTAACCCAAACAGAGGTAAAGGTACAATCCCATGTATTGGTCACAAATCATTTGCAGAGGTACTACAAGGGGCCACGACCATGGCAGCTATCAAAGCTAGCATGACCATCAAAGCCAATGAAGATGGTCATGGTTGGCTTTACGAAAGCGTTATTATCAGGCTCAACTTGGATTTCTCCATTAACAGTATAAAATCTGCCTTGAAGGATAATGGATTAGCTCAAGTGGTGGTCAGGCAGGGGGGCGGCAGGGATGTAATCTTGACTTTCAAATCCCAGGAGGAGCTCCAATCAAATATCCAGAAGATTAAGGACTGGTTTAAAGACTGGAGTTAGTTTGTTTTGGAATGGAGGCCAGGAGTCCAAATAGACCAAAAGAGATGTGTTTGGTTGAAACGTCATGGTATTCCTTTGAATCTCTGGAATAGGAACAATCCAAACAACACTGGAGCTTTGTGGGGGACAGTCCTTCAATTGGAGGGTGATCTTAGTCAACCAAAGTCATTCTCCTACTCCAAAGTAAAGTGGTTACAACATGCATGGAGCTCATTAACAAAACCATAAATCTGGAATGCAAGGGTAAATTACACCCAGTTTTTGTTTGTGAAGATCATTCTGTCAATCCACTGGAGTGCAATGGAATGAGAAACATTGGGCTGGGAGAGTGCAATAGCAGCTCCAATGTGGAGTTAAGCGCAGCGCTGCGGAAAATGACTTCACAGACGAGGGTTGCAAGAGAAAGGATGATGTTGATTCAGTGGCAAAACAGTATGACTTGTCTGCTGTTGCGTTGCCTTCTTCCATTAAAGTGGCACAAAGGAAGGAGCTTTCTCAATGCAACAGTAGAGAGGTGGTGGACACAGCTGTTGAGGAGATAAGGTGTGATGTGGAGGTCAGTAGACCTACTGCAATAGGTGGGAAAGAAACAATGATGGAGGAGCGTGCACCTTGCACAAAGAACAATGATCACTCACAGAGGTGTGTTGTGCACGCTTCTGCACCTGGCTTGTTCAAAAATATCAGCGGATCCATAGATGGGTTTTGGCCAAGTATTAATCTGGAGATTGCATTGGGCCATCCGAACAATGAGCAAATAGTACAAGGTCCTATTCTCATGCCATTTGAACAACAAGGTAACAGGGCATGCAATGATTCTTTATTACCTGGGCCTCACTTAGCTGCTGCTTCAAATGGGCCAGGCACTATAAGTTTACATGATCAAGGCCCAGTTCGGTCTGCCAAGAAAGCTGGGAAAAAGAAGGTGTAGATAGAGGGCTTTTCTCGTTTTGCTCGACTCTATGGTCTCAAATCTGCAGGTATCAGTAAGTATTCCTCCAAGTTTGTTATCTTCAGGCCAGCAGCAGTGGCCCGTGCACACTCTAAGCTATCCGAGGGTGAATTCGAGGGTGAATCTAGCTCGCATAGCTATCTCCTTAAGGAAGCGCAGGCCACTGTCAAATTAAGGAAAGATCTAGGAATTAATTTCTGTGGGCAAGAAGATGGTGTGGTGGATAAGATTCTTGAGCTGGCGCTTAAGGACAAAGAGAGACTTGTAAAGGATGGAAAGGCTCAACTGTAATAGCAGTGTGCTGGGGTCTAATAGATGGTCATTTTGTTTTAACTTTCAGGGTTTGGGTTGTCAACATTGGAGCTTCTGCAGTGGGTGTGTTCGGAGTTTGGATCGGAAAAAAGGAGCTAGTAAAACAGTGGAGATGGCAGTGGGTTTTGTTGGCAGTGGAGATGTCGGTTGCAATGGGTGTTTGGAGCTTGTATTGGGATAGAAGTGTCCTGACCGTGGAGGTGGAGATGGGTGTTTACCTCTGCTAAGTGGGTGAGGGTTAGGCGTGAGAGTTCTGCTCTGTGGGGTGTGTTTTACTTGGGTTTTGTAGGGATAATTTTGTGGGGGATTCTTGTGTTTTGTTGAGGTAAGTCCTTCTTACCTCTGTTTTTTATTTTCCTGTTTTAAAAAAAAAATTGTGATGCCGAGGGGTTGGCTGTATGGATGCGAGTAGCAGTAGTAGGGGTAGTTTGTACTTTCCAAATTTCTCTCGATGCACTTCATCTTCCTGTACTCTTAATTTCATGCTGTTAATGAAATTTTTCTTTGCTGATAAAAAAAAACAACACCATACCCTTTACTTCGCCCTGTAAGACTTTTTTTTTTTTTTAAATCAATACAACAACAACAACAACAACAACAACAACAAAAAAAAAAAAAACTCTAACCCAACAACCACCATAGAGGCTCTCTAACAATCTCTCTTATCATTTTCCCTTACCTCGCTCCAAGCTTTGCAAACATTTTCTGTCTCATTGTGATCTTTGAGTGTTTGATCGCATGTCCAAAATGCCCAGCTTCCTAAGCCTGCAACAATAACATAATTCTTTCGCTCTCCTCACCCTTTCTTTTTTTATTTTTATTTTTTTAACAGCAAAAAACAACCCTTTAAAAATAAAAACCAAAACCCTCTAAATTAACCATGGTTTATCAACCTCAAATCCTAGAGCAATTCTATGAAGAAAAGGAACAAAACCCACTAAGCAAGTCAATTCTTGTAGCCTCTATTGCCGCCGGAGTACAGTACGGTTGGGCGTTGCAGCTGTCGCTGTTAACGCCCTACATACAGCTACTCGGGGTCCCTCACAAATGGGCTGCCTTCGTTTGGCTCTGCGGACCCATCTCTGGCTTGCTCATTCAACCCACCGTCGGCTATTATAGTGACCGTTGCACCTGCCGCTTCGGCCGCCGACGCCCGTACATAGTTGCAGGTGCATTCATGATCTTTGTCGCCGTCATCCTCATCAGTTTCGCTGCAGATATTGGGAAGGTATGATGCTCTATGCAATTTAAGAATCTAGGGCAAAATCCACTTTAAGACCTTAATTCTATATCATTTAAGAATCTAAACTTAAACCACAGGGGTTAAAGCAGATTTTGCCCTAGTATGGTATAAACAGAATTTAAATTGGAATTTTTTTTTTTTTAGACATGATTTAAATTGGAATTTAGAACAGTAAACTGAAAAGTAAATGATATAGAATTCATATAGCTAACCACATAGAGGCAACTTTTATAACTAGATCCTAGAGAGTCGAAACTCCAGAGATCACTCTTAAGAGCATCTCCAACCACATCTTCTTCACAAGAGGATGAAAATAATATTTTTTATTCAAAAAGTAATGTAGCGGAGGTCACTATTCATTCAAACTCCAACCACAAATCTTCATTTCTTTCATTCAAACTCTAATCAAAAAGTAATTTTTGTTCATCAATAAATATTTAATTTTAAAATTTTTGTAAAACATATTTAATATTATACTCATTTTAAAAGTATGATTTTATACTTTTTATTGATGTCATTTTTATAAAAATTAAATTTACACATTAAAAGTTATTTCGAATATAATTAAGAAATATAGAGTGAATAGTGTTTTAGAGTCTCTTCTATTTTTTCATCCTCCCTCTATATTTGGAGAATCAATTCATCCTCCTCCATGGGAGGAGGATATAGAGGATGGGTTGAAGTTATTTTTGGGAGAGGATCTTCCATATTTGAAGATATGAAGGATGGGTTGGAGATACTCTAAATGGTGCAGAATTCATATAAAGCTGCATAAACATTGTATTGATTTTGATATAACAACTGTAGCATAAATATTGATTTGGATATTGAAAGCAAAGTACATTAGCAGTTTTGAAATTGTTCTCTTCAGGAATTTAGGTGAGAGAAAATAAATAAAAGAAATGATTTGGTAACCAAAAGAAGGAAAAAAAGGGAAAAAATTCTATATATGTTTGATTAAGTTGGAGAGTAAAGAAAATACTTTAAAAAATAATAATAATGATTTTTTTCCTTAAAAAGAAAAAGGAAAAGAAAATATTAGAAGTTATATTACTAAAAGAATAATTTCTGTTTATATTCTTTTAGTACTTACATTTTTAGTGTTATACAAAGATACTAATCATTCTATTTATTTTCTCTCCTGATCTCTTTATTTTTTCAAAGGTCCAAAAAGTGAATTTTAAGGGAGAGTAATTTCTATTATTATTATTATTTTTTTTTTGGGAGGGGGGTTCATTTGCTCTCTTTTTCAGTAATCCAGACAAATAATTAAGTGCAAGCGAATCATTTTTTTTTTTTCCTTCAAATCACTCAATCATAAGTAACTAAAAATTTGAATTGGATAATTAAAATACATATACAATTGATCAAATAATAATTTTGTTTTTGTTGAAATATTCTAATAGGTTCTTGGTGACAGTCTTGATCAAGGAATGAAGCCTATGTCAGTCACCATCTTTGTACTAGGGTTTTGGGTGCTCAATATAGGAAACAACACGTTGCAAGGTCCTTGTCGAGCTCTCTTGGCCAACATCTCCGGCAGGGACGAGACCATGTTGAGGGTGTCAGACGCCATGTTTGCGTTCTTCATGGCCATCGGAAACCTATTAGGCTACGCCGCTGGTTCCTACAGTAATCTCTACAAACATTTTCCCTTTACGCAAACCGAAGCTTGTGATGATTATTGTGCGAATCTCAAAACTTGTTTTCTTTTCTCTATTACCATCCCGTCAATAGTAACTACGTTTGCTGTCATCTTAGTGAAGGAGGAACCGTTCGTGGCCCCCATTGAGAACAACATATCGATTGTGACTCTTGGGAAGGGTGAGGAGGCTGTAGTACCAACAGGGTTTTTCCAACAGTTTGCGTTAGCATTGAAGAGCTTATCAAAACCAATGTGGATACTACTACTCGTTACGAGCCTGAACTGGACCGGTTGGTTCCCGTTCTTGTTGTACGACACGGATTGGATGGGAAAAGAGGTGTACGGCGGCCGTGTTGGAGGGACTAGTGTTGAAAAAGAGTTGTACCATGAGGGGGTTTCAGCCGGGGCATTAGGACTAGTGTGGTATGTCTTGACACTTGCCATTACGTCGTTGGCTATGGAGCCTCTAGTGCAAGTTCTCGGTGGCATAAAGCAGATGTGGGGGCTCGGAAACTTTCTGTTGGCGATTGGCATGGCAATGACTGTGGTGATCACTTACATGGCTGATCATGCTAGAAGTGTCGCCGCCATTACCGCTAGCACCGTTGGCAATGCTAATTACCTTGTGCCGCCACCACCCGAAGTCAAGTGGGCTTCTTTGTGTCTCTTCGCCTTGTTGGGTATCCCACAAGCGGTTAGTACCTCAAATCAATGTTTTCTTTTTTAATAAAACATTGTAAGAAGATATGGAGGAGTATTAAGCCAAGACCTGTCCATTCTTTATGTTACAAATCACTTCTCTTTTTTTTATTGGTTTTATTTATATCACTAGATTCATGACAACTTCAAATTTTTAGTCAAATTAGAGCTGAAAAACCAATTTTGTTATTTTAGCTAGTCACACACTGCATGAAACTCAAAGATTGCTAGCTGCCAAGATTTCGATCACCCAAGAAATCTTTGAATCCATCTCAACATGAGTAGAGGTGGGGGTTGGATCCCGGTGCTGAGACAAAGGAGAGGAGGTGGAGCACAAGGTAATGAAGCAAGGCATGGAGTTGTTACTGTTTTCGTGGACAACATACCCTTAGCAATGGCTGCAAAGGCTCTGTTCAAACTATTTTCAAATTTTGGGATTGTGAAGGAATCATTTATCCTATACAAAAGAAGGCAAGCGACAAACTCACGCTTTGGGTTTGTGAGATATGACTGTCAGGTAGCAACAACTGTTGCCATTCAAAAAGGTAACGGCCTTTTGGTGGATGATAAGGTGCTGGAGGTCAAAGTTGCTGCATATGATAGAAATAACAGAGCTGAACAGGGAAGGGGGAAGCCTCAGCATTCCAAAAGGGCCCCTCACACAAACAACTTTAGTGGAAAAGCTGCATTAGTGGGTCATAGATCTTTCGCAGAGGTACTAAAAGGGGACATTCTTTCAACGGCTGGGGAAGAAAGCATGGAGATTCAAGCCTTTGAAGAAGGCAACGGTTGGCTATATGACAGTGCAATCATCAGATTCAATATAGAATATCCCACTCACATTATTTCAAAAGCCCTGAAGGAGAAAGGGTTGGAGCAGGTAGTGGTCAGAAAAGGGAGAGGTCGTGATATAATATTATCTTTTAAATCTCAAGCGGAACTGCATTCAAACATCGGCCAGCTCAAAGATTGGTTCAAGGACTGGAGTCTTTCCGTGTCGGAATGGAAGCCTGGCTTTCATCTATAACCTGAAAGATGTGTATGGCTGAGATGCTTTGGCATACCACTGAATCTATGGAATAGAAATACTGTAAATAACATTGGGCGCACATAGGGTTCTGTTCTTAGTTTAGAGGGTGACTTATGCCAACCAAAGTCATTCTCTCATGCTAGAATTAGAGTGGTCACTGGGTGTATGGAATATATCAATAGAACTGTCAACTTGAAGTGTAATGGAAGTTCACATCCCGTTCTAATCTATGAAGATCATCCAGCTTTCTCTGATTGCTTGGACCACAACGGTTTGAAGGAGTTCAGCTCCATCAGAAATTGCTACAGTAAGGAGAGTAGAAATGTTTCAGGGGCAGATGTCAGAATTAAGAACGACGGTGATGGGGTGGTAGCTCAACAGCAGGGGCTCTCTGTCAGTTACATAGGTGAGGTAGTGGATACTGTTGTTGAAGAGACACTAGTTGTAGGAGGTTTCAGTAGAGAGAAGGAAGCAAGAGTTGTGGAGCCTCTGTTAGAAGGGTTAGATCGCAATTCAAAAAGCAATGATGACAATCTTAGGTGTATCCCTCAAGTCTATACCCCCGGGTTTATCAAAAACTTCAATGAAGATGGTGATGGGCCTGGACATGGCACTAATTTGGAAGAGTTATTGGCAATGGAGTCCAGAAAAGACATTGGGCCTGGCATTAATTTGGAAGTGGTTTTGGCCCATTCTTTAAATAAGTTCTCAGATTGTGGTCCTTCTAATAGGCCCAAGGAAGTGGTTAGTACCAAACATGACAATTTTGTTTCTTTGGCCTCATCCATTCCTCACATGCAATCTGCTGGGCCTAATCTCTCTTCTGGGAAGAGTTTTTTGACCCCTTACCCCAATTCAAAACTCCAGCAATTTACGAAGAAAAGGGGAAAAAAGAAATCTCAGCTTGAAGGATTTTCTAGCTTTGCTAGAATTCATGGCTACAGGGCTGCTACAGTTCATAAGCAATCCTCCAAGAATGTCATTTTCAGACCAGCTGCATCTGCTCTTACACATTCGGATCTGTCTGGAAGTTCTTCATCTTTCAACCATTGTCTCCTCCAAGAAGCTAAAGACACAATGCATCTGGGGAAATCCCTAGGAATCAACTTTAATGGGATGGAAGATGTTGTTCTAAGTGAGATCATTGATCTAGAGTTTCAAGACCAGGAGAGAATTATCAAGGATGGGAAGGCTCAGCAATAATATGCTGTAGATGGGTGCCTTGAGTGTATTTCTTTGTTTCTTGATGAAGCTACTCCCCTGGAATATTAGGGGTTTGGGAAAACCTAAGAAAAAGGGTAGAATCAAATGCCTTCTAAAGGATAGACTTATTGATATTGTTTTTTTTCAAAAGACCAAGAAAACAGTGGTTTCAGAAAATGTTGTAAGGGGGCTTTGGGGAAGCAGAAACATGGAATATATGTCTGTAGACCCTGATGGATCTGCGGGTGGGCTCTTATGCATTGGGGATCCTACTGTTTTCCAACTATCTGGCTGCTGCTGTAATAGGAGGTACATCTTACTATCTGGTTCTCTTTACAACTCATTTGATTGTGTTTTGTTGAACATATATGCTCTCAATGATGTTAGTGCTAACTTGTTGATATTGTTTTCTTTCAAGAGACCAAGAAAAGGGGGCTTTGGGGAAGCAGAAAGATGGAATATATGTCTGTAGACCCTGATGGATCTGCGGGTGGGCTCTTATGCATTGGGGATCCTGCTGTTTTCCAACTATCTGGCTGCTGCTGTAATAGGAGGTGCATATTACTCTCTGGCTCTCTATCTAACTCCTTTAATTGTGTTTTGTTGAACATATATGTACCCAATGATGTTAGTGCTAGAGCCAATTTTTGGGAAGATATATTAAAGCTCAAGGTCTTTTTTCTTGATCTTTGGTGCATGAGAGGTGACTTCAATGAGATCAGACATATTGGGGAGAGGGTAGGCTGTTCCAGAAGAGACAGGGGGATGAAACAATTAAATGATTTTATTGGGAAATGTGAGCTCAGTGATCTACCTCTGTATGGAAGGGAATTCACTTGGTGTAATGCCCAGGATTCTGAGAAGTGGAGCCGAATTGATAGAGTCTTACTCAGTCCGGAGTGGATAGTCAACTTTAGAATGAAGCTTTGGGGCCTGCCTAGATTAATCTCAGATCACTGCCCCTTGTTGATGATGGAAGATGAAAGAGATTGGGGGCCTCGTCCTTTCAGATTTTTAAACGCTTGGACCTTACACCCAAGCTTCTCAGACCTCTTTATCAATTGCTGGAACAACAGTTCTTTCTCTGGGTGGGCAGGATTCAGGCTTATTCAAAAATTCAAGCATCTAAAGATGGAATTAAAAAAATAGAATATTGAGGTGTTTGGTAATGTCACATCCAAACTTAAGGCTTCAGAGGAGGAGTTGCATACATTGGATATTATGGCAGAGGATAGAGCACTGCTAGATTCAGAAAAGATACGAAGAAGAATGGTCAGACAAGAAGTGTGGAAGCTTTACAGAATGGTGGAGTGGTTATGGCATCAAAAGTCCAGACTGAACTGGACTCTGAATGGGGATAGGAATACTAGGTTCTTTCATGTCTCTGCCAATCTCAGACAGAGTAGAAATCTGCTTAACTCTATTACTATCAATGGAGTGTCCCATGAGGAGCCTAGCAGGGTCAAGCATGAGGTTTTTCAACATTTCAAGACTCATTTTTACTGAAGATTGGATTAAAAGACTTGTTTTGGGAGGGGTGTTCAAGACTATAGAGGCAGATTTTGTTTCTCATTTCTTTGTTCCAGAGTTCACTGAAGCTGAGGTTTTAGCTGCAATTAAAGATTGCAATAGCAATAAAGCCCCAGGCCCTGGTGGGTTCAATCTGTTGTGCTATCAGAAATTTTGGAAGATTTTGAAGCCTGAGATTATGCAATTTTTTAAAGAATTCCATCAGAATAGTAGGCTCACATATGGTATTAATAGTACATTTATTACTCTCATCCCTAAGTTGGAAAATCCCATTAATCTGTCTGATTATCGACCCATTAGCCTTGTGAGTTCTTTATACAAAATTTTGGCAAAAGTGCTAACACATAGATTGAAGCTAGTGTTACCCACTATTATTGGTGAAACTCAAATGGCTTTTATAGGTGGGAGAAATATCATTGATGGGGTATTCATTGCCAATGAAGTGGTGGATGGATGGAAGAAAGCCAAGAAACAAGGTCTGATTTTAAAGTTGGATTTTGAGAAAGGCTTCGACTCTGTAAATTGGGAATGCCTATTCTCATTGTTGTCTAGTTTTGGTTTTGGATCTCAATGGACTTCCTGGATGAAAGCGTGTGTCTCTACAGCTAGAATTTTGATTCTTGTGAATGGATCACCAACAAAGGAATTCTCACCTCAACGAGGTCTTAGGCAGGGTGATCCGCTTTCACCTTTCCTATTCAATATAGTATCTGAAGGGCTTAATATACTTTTGGGCAGAGCACTTAATCTTGGCATTCTCAAAGGTGTGTTAGTTTGGGGCTAATGATGTTCTCTTATCTCACCTACAGTTTGCCGATGACTCAATTCTTTTTTCTGAAGCAGATTGGGATCAAATGGTCCTGGTCAAAAGAATTCTCAGATGCTTTGAAGTTCTCTCTGGTCTCAGAATTAATTTCCACAAAAGTGTGGTGTGTGGTATTGGTGTGGATGATACACTTCTGCTCTCTTTTGCAAGGCTTTTAAATTGTAAAGTGCATATATAACCTTCCTATCAAATTTTCGGGGCTACCCCTTGGTGCTAACCCTAGTAGGAAATCTACTTGAAAGCCTGTGATTGACAAATTTAAAGCTAGACTTTCCGGGTGGAAGAAAATGTTGTTATTTGCAGGAAGACTAACTTTGATCAAGTCTACTTTATCCTGTCTACCAGTGTACTTTCTTTCTTTATTCAAGATGCCTGAAGGTGTGGCTAGAGATATTGAAAAGATTAAGGCTAACTTTTTATGGGGTGGTAATGCCATTAAAAGGAAAGTTCACCTTGTGAAATGGGTGGAGGTCACAAGGAGCACAGATCAAGGGGGGCTGGGTAGCCGAAGGATCAGAGATGTCAATGCTTGCTTGCTACTCAAATGGTGGTGGAAATTTGGAACTCAAATCAATGCTCTTTGGAGGAGAGCTATCTGTAGTAAATATAAGATTGATGAGCTGTGTTGGTTTCCACCAACGAAGTCCTCTTACAAACATTCCAGACTGTGGAAGGACATCATCTCCATAGGGTCTCATAGCAGTATTATTTACAACTTCTACTTGGGCAACTGCATTATTAAAGTGGGAAATGGAAATAGAATCAAATTTTGGCATGATAGGTGGTGTGGTAACTCTTGTCTTAAGATCAATTTTCCACATCTCTTTAATCTCTCAACTGATAAAGAAGGATCTCTTTACCAATTCTTTGCAAGAAAAATCAGCTCAAGTGATTGGATTTTACCCCATAAAAGAGTGTTATATGTATGGGAATTGGCTGAAGAAGCTAGATTGCTTGGTGTCCTTTCCTCAGTTCCTTCTCTGAGTCTTGATAGAGCAGATTGTTTGTCCTGGGCTTGCGTATCTACAAGTAACAGTGAGTTCTCTGTGTCCTCTCTTTACTCCCTTACTAGCTCTAATTTCGGCCCCAATTTCAGAATCTGTAAATCCATTTGGAATAGAACCACTCCCCCAAGGTTTCATTTTGATTTGCTAGTCTATTTACTTCTACTCTAATCTGCTAGTCTGCTTCTCTGTGGGGTGTTTTGTGTTGGATGAGATTGGTTGCTGCTGGGTGCTTTTTGGTGGGTTACATCTGTTGGGTGCTTTGGTGGGTCTCCATAGTGAGCTTGATTACTGTTAGGTGTTTTTGGAGTTCATCTGTTGAATTTGTTATTCTGCTATGTTTGGAGTCCTTCTGCTGCATATGCTATGTTTGGTCTTCATCAGATCAGATGATGCTGTAAGGATTGTTTGGTCTATGCTCTGGCCGAATGGCTTGCATGGTAAGAGGCAAGTGTTCTATTATGTGATGTTCTGACAAGCTTTGCACCTGTGTGAGGAACTGATGTGTGTTGTAGTGTTGAATCTGCTTGTAGTCTGTGTATTCTGGGTTTTGGTGTGCTATATTTGTTGTGCAGTCTGCTTGTTCTGAAGCTTGTTCTGCAATCTGAAGTATATCTAATGTTTTCATTTGGAATGCAAATGGGTAGGCTAGCTAATTGTCTTCACCTGGAAATGGGAAGGCTGGTCAATTGTTTCATCTGGTTAATTGCTTCTGCATCAGAAATGAGAAGGCTGTTCTGTGTCACTCGTTTTGTTTTGTTTCTGCGATCATCTGAAGGCAGATGGATTGAATTGTATAGGTAGGCTGTGGCTCTGAACTTGATCAGAAATGGATGGCTGGTTTAGTGAGGATTGAATTGATCAGAAATGGGTAATGTCTACTTCTGTGGGAGGATATGGCTCTGTGTTTACTGAGGATTTTGCTTGGGATTGGCTCTGTGTTTTTTGCTTCTGTTTGTTGTCCTTTCTCTTTCTCTCTTTTTGTTGGTTTCTCACGAATTGACGCTTGGTGCTTTTCTAGCCCCAAGCTCCTCTTTATTGATGTAATCTTTTATACTTTGTATGTTTCATCAATAAAGTTTTTTTTGCCGATCAAAAAAAAAAAAAAAAAACTAGATTCATGACAATATATTATTGTTTTTTCACTAATTTTTTAATCATAAATTCTAAATAAGTATACAATTAGTTGAAGATACAAAATGGTAAGAAATAATTGGTGATGGTACAATTAAATATTTTGCATTTGCGCAGGTGACCTATAGCCTTCCATTTGCTCTAACCTCCATAATTTCCAGCTCAGTTGGTGCAGGTCAAGGTAAATATTATGTGACTTATGAAACAATGTTTGACAACTATATAATTAAGGTCTCCTTCTAAGACACATTGGATGTTTGAACTTTGTAGGACTTGCTTTGGGCGTTCTAAATCTTTCAATTGTGATACCACAGGTAAGATTCAACAATTAACATGACATGCATGAGTTAAGTTTCTCTCGTGCCAATTAGTTGAGATGAGTTAGTTTTGTTAGTGGAATAATTTTTGGAAATAATGTTGAAATGAGTAGTGATATATAAATTTAAAAAAAGCATACATAAATTAATAAAAAGGATGTGGCAAGTTTTGATTGGGTAATAATATACCGACAGAAAAAACATTTATACAGAAAATGTTTTTAAAATTATGCCTTCAGTTGCGTGCCTATTGTTTTATCAGCAATGGTAGGTATCATGAAAAATCTTTATGAAAATAATCATGAAAACTTTGTAACATTTGGATAACACTTAGAATAAAACACCGCACACTAATCAAGGTAATCCAAGGATCATAAATTTTTCATAATCATTTTCATAAAAAAAAATTCATGATCCCTAACTTTTCCCTTATTTTATACCTTAAAACCGATCAAGATAAATTTATTTACAAAACACCTCCTGGGAGTAATTTTATTTTATCACTTTAAATTCATTCAAGTGACAATTTTTTTTTTTAAATATGCTTGTCGCTTTAAATTTTATATAAAAATTATGTAAGAATATCATTTCTCATGTTGAATCAGGTGGTGGTGGCTATGGTGAGTGGGCCATTGGATGCGTTTTTTGGAGGTGGTAATTTACCAGCCTTTGTGATGGGGGGTATTTCAGCAGCATTACGTGGAGTCTTCAGCTTAGCCTGGCTCTCAACTTGAAAAATTTTATCCATTCATTTATATTCTATCTTTAATTTTGTGATCAAGTTATGTGTTCCTAACAAAACTGACACGAGCATTGATGCGTGGACTCGAATGCTACCAGCACTGGCAGACCCAAGGGGTGGCTGGGGAGGGCCCCTGCCAAGATTAAAAGAATTCCACTAATTTGTAGTGGGGTGATCGGCGAGAATTATGGAAGTAATTTATAATTTATTTTAATATGGGAGTTTATATTAGACTGTTTGGTATAGTTTCTGGTTATAACTTATTAAATAGAAATAGTTTAAATAAGTTAAAAAAAATTGATTTTCCAGAAACTGACTGAAAGTTGCTTTTAATTTTTACTTCTTAATTATTAACTTTTATATTAAAATAATTTTCACCAAACACCTCCAGTTGGAGTCCGGATCCTCTCCTTGAGGAAGGTCCTTGGGTTCCTGCGGGCAACGGCTCAGATGAGCCGTTGGTCATCCAACGGCTGATATTATAAAAAAATAAAAATAAAAAATGTTGTGTTTTCGACTTCCCGCCCAAACAAAACAACAACACAGCTCAGATGAGGGATTCACTTTCACTCTCACACACCACTCTCACTCTCACGCAGCACTCGCCTCCGTCGAACCCATCCTCATCCTCACCGGCAAACCCATCCTCACCGACGGCGAACTCCATCCTCACCGACGGCGAACTCCACCGCTCCAGCCTCTACGCTTCGTGAACTCACCATCGGTTGAGCAAAGATCTCTTCTTCACGAACCAGGTTGGTCTTCGAACAAAGATCTTTTGTCTTCCAACGTCTGAGATTGAGATTGAGATCTGGGTTTGGAATTGATATGGACAAGTTAGGGTTTTCAGAATTAAGGATTTTATAATTTCAAAATTAGGGCTTTTTAAAAAAATTAGGGATTTGGGTTTTGAAAAATTAGGAATTTTGGTTTTTGAAAAATTAGGGATTGAATTGGGAATTATGGATTCGAATTTCTATTCGAACGGCTAAAAATTTAGGGCTTTTAACGTCTGAATTTTTTTTCAATTTGAGGATGATTTGGTAATATTTTTTGGAGATGATGAGGGTAAAGATGAACCCACAGTTCTGATGTTATGTAATATGAATGTAACCAACCCACAGTTCTGATGTAACCAACCTAGATAATTTAAAGGTAATATGAATCTGATTCTTTGTTGTTGTTGAAAATTTAGTTGTTCTGAGTTTGAATTTAAAGGTCTTTCCTTGCAATTACTGTGTAGGACTAATGCGATTTGCTGTTTCTTTTGTGATATAGAGAATTTTCTGACCCATACATTTTTACAAATGCATACCTACAAAGTAGGCAGAAAGTAGGGAAAAAAAAAAAAAGAAGAGGGAAAATTGTAAGAAACTAGTAGAAGACAACTTTATTTAAAAAATCAGCTCAAAATCTGATGGAGTATACTATATTTCAAAATAATGTATCATCCAACTAGTACTGATAAAACAAGAACATTTTATCTGTGTTACATAGACTCATTTGTGTATCCAAGTCTCAAATTTCATCTAATTCTCATGTCCAAGATAACACAGCTAGAGTTCATATTTCTTAAATGCTTCTTTTACTTTCTCAATGGTAAATTCACATTTACAAACTAAAATTAAGCATTTTATGTATTAAATGCATGGTTATATAGTAATCAAGAGTACTGGTACATACTTGTTGAGTGCTTGTCCAACTAGGCATAACTCGTATCTCACACTTAAAAGTTGAGTATCCAACATGTTCACAAAATTTGAAGTCCATGTTACCAAGATTGTAATGTACTGGAACAATGGTATTGGACAAATATTAGTAATAGTAGGTACATGAGTCCAGCCCCTCCATTACTGGAATAAGAGAATTTCCTACAAAATAGTTGGAATTAACTAGATACCTGTGGTATATATGGTATACAAAGTGTAAAACTCTGTTGAAACTCACTGTTGGTAGCATTTTATTTAGGACCTCTTTTACTTCCCTCACTGTAGCTATGCTTATTTGAGATGATTAGGGTAAAGATGTGAGATATATGTTGGACAATTGCATCTGTTAATAACCATGTTTGCATCTGTTAACATCAGAACCATGTCTGTAACAATGTCTTCAAGTTATTCCTATGGGACATATTATTAGAACCAACTTCCATTAGCACCAACTTCCATTAGCACCAACTCCCATTAGCCTTCTCCTCATGTAGGCAGATTTAAAAAATGGCTTCTTCTTCTAACATTAGCGACATGAGATTGGTACTGAGGCTGTGCAATTGTGGAAGAACAGCTGCTATACATATTGTAAGAACCAACAAGAACGGAAATGAAGGGCGTTTGTATTTTGTTTGCCCATCAAAATATGTAAGTTGGTAATTCTAGCTATTTTCTTCCTTTATTAGACACATTAATATTTGTCTTATTGAACTAATGTATTCGCATGCATTGCAGAGTAACCCTCCCACTCATCATTGCAATTACTTCAAGTTCGTGTCTGAAGATGATGAAGATGTTACGTCCAGAATCCGTTCCAACAATACAGCTGCTGCTGGTATAACAATAGAAGACTTGAACGATGTAAGAATGAGGCTTCATGACATGGAAAATGGCTATGGTCGAAGGCTGCAAAGGATGGAAAATAATATGAAAAAGATGGTGTACTTCATTGTATTTTGTATCATTTTGTACTTTATGATGTAACTTTTCGACTTTATTGTATTTTTGGGAAACTTAATGGAAGTTTGTATCCTTTTGGATTTTATGTACTCCGACTTGTTATCTATTATCTGTTATGGAATGAATTTTGGGGAACATTAAACTTCTTATCTGTTATGGAATGAATGATGGAATTTTGGAATGTTGGAATGAATGATGGAATGTTATGCTATGTAACTATAATACATGATAACCAGCAGATTCTGTGATGATGAATGATGGAATGTTATGGAATGTTATGTTGCACAGGCAGATTCTAATGGAATTTTGGAATGAATGATGGAATGTTATGTTATGTAACTATAATACATGATAACCAGCAGATTTTGTGATGATGAATGATGGAATGTTATGGAATGTTATGTTGCACAGGCAGATTCTGTTCTTGTTGCACAGGCAGATTATGATTTATGTGGACAGATCAGGATACCCTTTTCCTCCTTGAAGCATTGGACTGTGATGTTGCTGAGCATGTTGCTACAAAAACCAAAGCTCAATATAAAGGATGCTTTTATGGACTGTGATGATGAAAAGGATGCTACTGTCAAATAAAATGCAGATCTGAAGCATACCAGTTTCAGAACATCAGAACCAATTTCAGAACATGCAGATCAATTTCAGAACATGCAGATCCATTTCAGAACATCATAATTTCAAATCCATTGTAGATCCAGTTTCAACATCAGATCAATTTCAGAACCAGTTTCAGAAGCAGTGTTCAACACAGCATGACTTATTAATAACATGAACCAGTTTTAAATGAACATGTTTAATAACATGTTCAACACAGAAACAGTTTTAAATGAACATGAACATAGAACCAGTTCAATAACATGTTCAACACAGAACCAGTTCAATAACATGTTCAACATGAACATGAACAAGAACATCAACCAACCAACACATAAATTAAAAAAGGATATTAACAATAACAGAATCAGTTCACTTGGGTTTAACATATAAATTAAAATCAACTGTAATTGAACATCAACCAGTATAACTTTAACATCTAAATTAATACATTGGTCCTTAAAAATTGACACATTGGTACTTTAACATCACTTTCTAGCAACAGTTTGCTTCACAATTTCAGAGGCCATGTTTTCACGTTGCAGCCCAATTTCAGCATCAGTTTGGTTCTGTTAATGGTTGTCCATAGCCTAAAAAAAAAAAAACAATTTTTAAGCAACTATAAATACATGATATCATAGAATTTTCAGCCACTATAAACTAAAAATACATCAAGGACAAACCTCACTACACATTGGAGTAGTTGATTCTTAAGAATATCGAAACCCAATGTCATATCCACATGAACCTTGTAGTAGTGACTGGAATGTTGGTTGAGTTGGCAAATAATTTGGCACCACATACATCTCCCGCAAATTGTTCGCCTACAAGAATGTCATATATGCTTTCAGTTATGGTTTTAGTCACATATTATATCCACGCAAAAAATACAATGTTAAAGTAAGACTTACATGATATGTAGGATACATCAATGGCGGAGGAATGTAATTACCACCCATGGGCAAAGATCGAGGAAGAGGATGAAGGGGAGGAAGAGGTTGAAGCGGAGGAACATGTTCACGAACATATATATCTCCTCCAACAGATAATGGAGAAGGCGCAACTGTTGAACTTGCAATAGATTGTGACGAAGCCAAGCTATTAACACGGGATTTTTTTTTGGAGTTCGCTACCAACGTCGCTTCGAATCCACCTTTGACCCTCCTTTTGCCCTTACTAGTTGCCATCTTTTTCTTCAATCCTTTTGGTTGCACAACATGATTCACATCTTCACATTCCACTTCAAAGCTTTGGGTATCATCATCATTACGTACTTCATTTCCAACACCAAAATGAGCACTTAACTTGCCTTCAACATCTGCACCTAATGTAGCAAGGTGTACAATACAAAAATCATATGTTTCTTCAGTTTCAGCAGCTCTACTTGCTACTGCTCTAAATGCAGTCATCAATGTCTTATACCGTGAAGCTTGTTGGAATTTCACATCTATTTGAATGTCATTTTCCTTAATGTGTTGCACAGTTTTGGCTCTTGCTTGTTTGGTCCACCTTTTCAGAATGTATTGTGGAGGAACCTCTTTCATCTTCAATATGTCTCTAATGACCTTCAATGAGTGAGAACAAAAGATTCCTTCCCTTTCAAACTCTGTACAATTACAACCCAAAGAGCCATCCCTCTCCAACTTCACTTTCCTTGCATGTTTGTTACCAACATCAACAACTGTGTAAATGGTACTAGCATCGCCATATTCAA